ATATGTGAAAAATTTTTCAGAAAATATTAAAAAAAAAATTTTAATAAAATTAAAAAAAAAAAAATTTTCGAAAAAAATAAATGGGGAAAATATARTTGAGAAACATTTCAGAAAATCTTTTGCGAAAAAAACGTCGAAAAAATAACTGGAAAATATATGTAAACTAATTTTCTGAAAAATTTTCGCAAAAGAATAAAGTGAAAAATAAAATTGAAAAATATTTCAGATAAACTTMTGCAAAAAAAAGTAAAATTGGAAAAGATAAGTGAAAAATATTCTCGAAAATTTTTTCTGAAAAACTATATGTGCAAAATATAATCGAAAAAACTAAGTGAAGCGTCTTTACGGGCAATTTGCTGTACAAAGTTCCTCAAAAACTCGTAAGCTATTGGCGTGCGCGTTAGTAGAACTACACCGCAACAAAGYGCTAAGAGGCGAGAAACAACCTTATATATGTATATATAAACGACCCCAACAACATAAGCTGCATATTTGCAGWCACTCGTAACAGAGATAAACTGGAGTTGCTAACAGTAAACGCGAACCGGCCAACAAGTCGAATATCGATTTTGTCTCCACTGACATATAACAAGATTGCTGCGTGCTAAAAAAAGCTAGAAAAAGACGAAGTACAAGTGAACATAAAAACTAATAGTAAAAGAACATAAAATAGAGTAAAAGAAAAGAAAAAAAAAAACAACGACGACACAAACAACACGAAAGCGCTACGAGCAAATACTGGCAGACAGACAGCGCAACAGACAGACGGAAGACACTAACTGAAGTCTAGTTGCGCGAGCCAAGTGAGCAGGCGTGTGCTATAGCGCCCAAAAAGTTAAAAAAAAATATATATATATATATAAAACAAGAACACAAACGGGGTGTTGGTAATGAAACCGACCCCGCACTAAGGGCGAACGAACGGACGTCTACGAGAAACAAGTGAATTGCAGCGACGACCCCCCAAACCCCAAACACAAACGCAGAAACAGACAACACAAATATTATTGTAATCGGTTGGGGGATTACAGTAACAACGAGTGTATGCGCGACTGGCGAGCCAAGCGCAAACGAACAGACAATTGAAGTCGGCGAAATTGCCATTTCAACGGCGTGTTATTTAACGTTGGCAGTTGAGCCAACGCTGAAAGGCGAAACCGACAAATAATAGCCAGCGATGAAAACAAAGCGCACAGCGCAAAAGTAGCGAAAAACCGAAAAAAAAGTAAATAAAAATAAARCCAAGTGGCAACAAAAATCAGGCAACGAACGGAAACAGTTGAACATAAAAGCCAGTTGCTCAACAAACACACCAAAATCACAGCGAAATCAACGGCGCAACGAGACGTGTAACGTGCAAGAGGAAATCGAGGCGCAGGAAACACACACACGCAGCGACACACAAGAGAAGCGGAAACGTACTTTTGGCAAAAGATCAAAAACACGTCCTGTACGAAAGCAGGGACTAAGCGGGCACTACACACACGGCAAGCCGGGAAGCACACAAAACGACAGGCAACATAAGGCAGCAATCAACAATTTCGGCAAACAACGGAAAAAGTTGGTGAATAGGCGCCGACAGTGCCAAGACGCCATAAACGCCACGATAAGAGAGCTTGCTTAGCTTTGCTGGAAACTGACGAGTTTCTTTGGCGGCGCAAAGCCTCATTTGGGCACAGTTGACAAACACAAAGTAAGAAAGAAAAACAGAAAACACAAATCAAGAGTGAAATTAAACGAGTGCAACGGTGGCAAGGAAAAGCACTTGCCTATAAACCATAAAAAACCGAAAGACTGTTAGAGAATGAAGACTTTTGTGTGCAAGCGTATGGCCGCTTAGACTTTAACGTACGCGCCCTAGTACCATAATACCCATAAAAAAAAAAAAAAAAAAAAAAAAAAAAAAAAAAAAAAAAAAAAAAAAAAAAAAAAAAAAAAAAAAAAAAAAAAAAAAAAACGGAACCGAAAAACAGTCTTACGCGTTAGTTAGACTAGCTAGAGATTCCCACACAATAAGCAAAGCGGCGTTTAAACTAAAGTCCCTCCCAAAAACCAAGAAAAAATCAAAGAAAGCAGAGCTTTTGTCAGACCGTTACCAATTCGTCGACAGCTACAAACACGTAGTCMTCTATATATATATATATATATAATCCCCCGTCAAGTAGTTACACGAAAATCCCCAAAAATAGCACGTCTACTTGAGCGTTTGCGTCGCATCAACAAAAAGAAAATGTTCTACTCGCTCGTGCAGACCATTGTTTGTGTGCTGCTCATTCAGGCCGGCATTTATGCGCTGCACTTGAATGGACCAAGCGCTAACAGCAATGGCGCGAGCTTGGGTAGCAACGGCGGCGGCGTTGGCGGCATTGTTGGTGTCAATGCGCCAACGAGTCACGGCGGTAGCGGCGCCGCACAGCTCAATGCCGCCGTCAATACAAATCAAATGCTCAATATACTCTCCGCCAATCAGCATGCGCAACATCTGCATGCCGGCGGCAGCGGTAGTGGCAGTGGTGGCGGCGGCGGTATTGGGCTCTCGCGTACGTTAAGCAATTCCGCTGTCAATCCGTTGGATAATGCCGGTCGCTTATCACAGGAGTTGGCCGATAGAGCACAGCTCGAACGCGAACGTCTCATGTTACTCGGRCTGGCAAAACAGACAGCGCTGGCCAATAGTGGTACTGGTCATCATGGACGTCCCATTATTACTGGACGTATACAAATGAGTCCCGTCGATGATGTGGAGAGCGACTATTCATCGCTGTTGTTGCCACAGACACGTGGTCCGCTATACGGCAATGTTGTTAAAGAGCCGGCGGCTGTGGAGAATGATGAGTATGTTGATGAGGAGCAGCGTGAATACGATAGAGCACGTTTGGCTAATGGCGCACATAGAAAGTATGAGTATGGTCGTATAGTCGAGCCAGCTGAACGTGAAGTGTATGCGGAGCCGCAGCCCATCGATGAGTTGGATGAGCTAATTGAAGCTGAACCGGAGATGGATGATGTGCTCTCCGATTTGGAGAGCTATCAGTATTTGGATGAGCTGCTGCCGCCCGAACATCGCAGTTTGTGGGGTGATGACGGTTTGGGTTATGGCATAGCCGGTGGCAATAGTCGTYCGCATCATTTGAATGACGGTTTCCCATTGCTATTGAATCCATATCGCACGCTTGAGGAGTTGGAGAATAGTCCGTCGCACACCTTGCAAGAAATATTCGAAAAGGAGTCGCATGACAAAGCCGAGACGAAAGCCCACCGCCAACATGCGTCACACCCGACACGCGAGCAGCAGAAGCAGCAGCAGCAGCAACAATACGAACAACAACAACAACAACAACAACAACAACAACAACAACAACAAGCACGTCATCAGCAGTCAACGCAACCACAGCAGCAATATACATTCAGCGCCGGCGTTAAGCACCGCAACGCTGGTGGCTACGGCGGTGACTACAACAACAACATGCAACAGAAATGGCAACGTAAGCGTTCGCAACAACAACAGCAGCAACGTCAATTGCAGCAATGGCAACGCAATATATTCGGCCAGCAACTGAAACAACAACAATTACACCATTTCGGCGCGCAGCCACAGCGTCACAACAAACTGTCGCTGGCCAACTCAGAAGCCACCGCCACTAAACATATACCGTTAAATGGCAGTACCAACGACCTCAACAACAACAGCAATAACAAATTGTCAAGCGCTTTGAACGCTTTGGCAACGCAACAACAAAGTTCCTCCGCACCCAAAATAACCAGCGGCGATGCGGCTATGAAGAGTGATCAGCTGCAGCACCAACAACGACAACAACAGCAACAACAGCAAGAACAAGATGAGCCCAGACAGATTGGCAAGGTTAGCACTGCTGATGTTGCCAGTCCAGCAACGGGCTTATCAAAGGCTGCTGCCAAATTGAAGGCACAGCAGCAGCAACAACAGCAACACAAAAAACAGCAGACGCCGTCACAAAAGCAAGATTCTTTCTTGCATCCCAATCGTAAGCGCTCCGGCAGCGTTGGTGGCGTCGGTGCCGCCAATGGCATSTCGGCAGCGGCTGCTGCGGCGGCGACTAACGGTTACTCCTCCATCGCCAGCCAGCTGATGTTGCGTACAGCGCGAGGGCAGCGGCAGTATGACGTGCCACAAATAGGTGAGTGCGACAGACTTTTCAATTAAATAAATTATTCTTTATAAATATAATAATATAATAGTACGAGTTTATGTGTTGTAGTTGCTTGAAAGCAACGTATAAGAGCTTTGGCTTACAAATTTTGCAACAATTTTAGGTTATGTGTCGGTTACTTGAAAAATTTGCTTACAGCAGTTTTTGTGAAAAGAATTTTGAAGCCGAAATGCGTCGAAAATCAAAAGAAATTAAATATTTCTGAATGGTTTTGCAATAATCGAAAAATATTCTAAGAACTCGCGAACGTTCACGATGATATGAACTCGTCGTTTTTATCAAAAGCAGATGACCTAAGCAGTTTATTTGTAACAAAACAGCAAATCTTTTGGGTCCTCAGTTAAAAATCTTAAAAAGAATGGTGAAAATTTTTTTTAAAATTAACTGCAAGTTCGAAATTGCCGGAACGTAATTTTGCAAACCTATTTTGGAATTGGCCTTCAGCCAACACACATTCTCCGTACACTAAAGATGAGCTAAATGAGCCGTGAGCTAAAGATAGTAAGACGTTGTTCATAATTTTAAAATTCTGAAATTATACTTCAAAATCTATGTCGTCCCTCTCAATGAAATCGCCTTGGTTGTAGTACAGTTGTGCCARCATTTTTCTTATTTCTCGTAACAGTTGTTAAAGTCAATTTACGGAACCACCTTGTATGCGCGTAGCGATTCACATTTCATGATTTCCACTAACTCAAAACGGTTTAACCATAGCAGTCTTTTGAGATTGCTGATCCTGATTTCAGATTTCTGATTTGGCGAAAAACTCGCGTAGAATCAATGCAGTATGCGACGGTCTATTATCGTGGTGCGATAACCAAGCACTATAATTCCGCCCTTACGTAAAACACTTAAATAGTATTATTTGTTGATTGCTTKGTTAGATGGGAAGGAATTTGAAGTGCACCACGCTTCGTTAACGAAGAAAACTGAAACWTAATCTTGATTTATGACCTATTTCGGTTCACCTTTKCCACCATATTCGGCCGATTGGTCGTCTGTTTCTGGGTCACAAACATAGATCCARGACTTATTGCTAGTAATAATAAGTTGCATGACCTTTTGGCAGTTGGAAATAATCGTGGTTTCACTTTTCTTCGACCCAAAGGATGTGTCAAAATGATTTTCACAGATCCTTTTGATATTCCAACGATGCCAGTAAAATTTCTGACTGTTAAACGTCGATTCTCAACCACCAATTCTTTGACTCTCAGTTGAACGGCCATCAACAGTTCCAGACGTTCTTCGTCTTCCAAGCATTTTTAACCCTTTTTGAATAGTTTGTACTAATCAAAAGCGCTTATTCGCGACAAATAATTATCAAAAAAGGCTTTTTCCAACAATTTAAATGTTTCGTCACTAGGAATTTGATTACCAAAACAAAATGTATTGGATTTTTTGTTCACAGTATTATGAGCTAGTTGTAAGTCATTTAAAACTCTCCTCGAACCCAACCTGGAAGTACTTTGGTCTTTCTACGTGCTGCCATTTCTCTTCTTATGACTGACGTTTCATTWTCATGTCCCACTTTATTATGGGATACCTTTTTTTTATAGTATTCTGCACGTTCGTCTAGTTTTTCTCATTTTAAAGTACTTTCTGCCTGCGTTTGCATTTGAGAAACATGTGATAAGCATCGTCCTCGAATGCGTTGTTGTATATATGGTATATGAYGGGTCTTCGTCTATCAGTGCCCAAATAGCATCTTTGTAGCCTACTCATAGTAGTTCACTTCGCCATTTCTTTTGTTGAACTTTTGATATAAGACTGTTAGATGATTTTAATCAGCCTTGCCACCCATCTGTCATGACGTTCTTGGTTCGAACGAGTGTCTAAGGTGTCAATCTATATCTCCTCTTTTATGGTTGTGGCATTTATTCCCTGCCCCTTCAACACACATTTTTTTTTACTTCAAATGCTTGTAAGTCGATGGCTGTGCTTTTGCTGCAGCGTCTCCCGGTATGCCGATCCCAAACTTAGTGTAGCGTGGTATACTTACTTATTCCAGGGCTTTACATCGGTTACTTTTCCTCACTGCGCCTGCCCATAACTCTGCATTGCATCTCTCTGTAGCACAAAATAAGACTGTGATCGACATTAGAAGCTAGCGTTTCTGCTGTGTCGGTATTCCGATGTTGTCCATTAGTTGGCTTTGTGCGCAGTATGTAAACATAGAGTCCAGTTTAAGACCCAGCTAATTAACAACCTCTCGATTTCTTAGGGAAGCTGTTGTTGGCAGAATATGTTTCTTTCTCAGTTTTTTCTGTGATTAAGGCAAATTTAAGTCCCTATGTCGTCTATGTCCATTTTGAAGTTTAATATGTTGAGCAGCTGAAGTTTCAGAGACCTGAGCCGAGTATTCATCCCTGCATAGCAGCTGACTTGACTTTTAAGTGACCTAGTTCTTTAGAGGTACAGCCAGACTCTATCTTTCAAGTAGCTTCTCATCATTCTTCTTCTTTAKTGTTCTTCTGTATGGCGCCAAATGTAGATTCCAAGTTTAGTTAGGTACTTTTACACCTCGTCCTTCCAATGGAGTAGAGGTYTTCCTCTTCCATCGACTGYGGTATTCGCCGTGYTCATTGCGCAAAGGRCCATAAATCTTCCRCAGAACCTTTCTCTCGATCTCGAAAACTCATAACACCCACTCATTATGCCTCTGCACCGTAAAGCATGKTGGGGAYGAYGAGTGACTTGAAGAATTTGGTCTTTGTTCGTCGAGASTTGAATTTACTTCTCAATTGCCGACTCAGTTCGATTAAAGATTTAAAGAGTATAAGCCCTTCCGTACTCGTTTAATATAAATTTCAAATATTAATTCAAATTTAATTTTTCGCTTTCGTAACACAGCTTGATCACAGGCGGAAATTTGAGCGCTAATTCTCCAACAAYACTGAAAATATTTAAACTTACATAATCCTTGTAACGGCATATCTATGCGTCGCCTAGCATCTAAGTCTCACTGTYTCTCCCGCGGCGACAACTTGCTTATCCTACTGCACGGCGGCGCGCTGACTCCTTTTYGCCAGCAAACACTTGACTTCAACGAGCGCACAATTAGTATTTGCGCCGCAGGATATGCATATGAGTATGGGCGCGTGTGTGCATGAGTGTGTATATACACACTTGCTAAGTACTAGCTACTAATCTAATGCCACAGCAGGCGATTAGCATTTTACTTGCAGTCACACACTTCGATTGAGTTGCCACTGGCGTTGCTGAGCGCGACGTAGTCGTAGTCTMAGGATTTCACAATGAGAGCGACCGACTCCTTGTGAAAGTATGTCATACGCTAAAGTGTCAACCTTATCTATGTAAGTTTGCSTGCGTGCGCTGACTTGCATGCTTAGCTGTTAATCCATTCATCCTTTATGCAACACTTGCATAKTCATACACATGCATATATGTACATATGTATAGTTTATATACATATTAGCTASCTACTGTCGTTGCTTGCCGTCGTGGTGTTTCTTGTGATTCTGGGAATGTCACGGTGGGCGGCCATACGGAAGCGCGCCTTTGAAGTGAAGCTGTGAGCCACTTCATATTGTTTGTTTAATTTTTCTGGTTATTTTTTGTTTTTGCTTTTTTTTTCTTATATAATTTATTTTCGTGTGACTGCAGCGCTAGTGGCTGACAAGGATGCTGCTCTCTCTATTTGTATGTGCGTATGTATGTATAGAGTTGCGTGTGTTGTAGTTTGCAGTGTGTGTCTGCGCTATTGGCATAATGAGCGCTGCCACTAATTGCATCATCTTTGTTAACATGGGCGACAATTAGTCTGGGATGTCGGTGCGTCGTGGTAAGATGTGAGACTAAGGTGTGTGTGTTTTGTCGGTCGGTCGTCGATTTGTGCGAAATATCGTGATTTTTTCTTTTTATTGTATAAGAAACATAAATATAAAAGTGTAATGAAATTGCACGTGGAAATAT